CCCCAAAACCCCAAAACCCCAAAACCCCTTAACCACAAATTAATAATTTTTGCATTGTATTCTAATAAATATTGAAATTTAAAGTAATTTTACTGGAATAAATCATCATATTCAATAATCTAGAAAGTTTACACAAAATTCAAAAAGGCCTATGCTTAAAAACAATAATCCTGATATGGCTTTGACTCTAGACTAACTCATGCTATCAATCAAAAATCTGCCAGCCATAACACCCATTAAAATAATCAGCATATAGCCACCAAAAGCACCCTTAACAATTGGACCGCTTCCATATATGCTTGATAGCACTATTATCGTAAGCATCATCTGAGATAAGCATAAGTGATGAGTTATCAGCTTGAATATATACTTGAGCATTTGTGAACTAGTCTTTGGCTATTTTCTTTTTCTATAAACTCTCATTTGTATTTTTATCATTTCTTGTTTTGTTGGAGTAAGTAAAGGTTCCGCTAGATTATATAACTATTCTGATTTATCATTTAGTCCTAGCTAGTACATTTTTTCCTTGTAGTCTGTAGTTCTTACACTTGTGTTCAAGAACATCTGCTCTTTGTTATCCTCTACTTCTTATTCTATATCTTCATTTTTGCTTTACTTGGATTTCAGTTTCTTTTTGGTTATCTTTTTGCTAATTCTTTTAACCACAATAGAGGCAATATTGTAGATGCCAAAAGCAAAGAACATTATCACGCAGATACTTTAAGCTTCTTCTCTAGATAAATATTCTCTCATACTGTTATCGCCTATCTCCCCAAAGACATTAATCTCAACATTTGATAGCACTGCTAAAACTACGAACGCAAGAATCCTTGGGACCTTTTCAGATAAAATAGAGATGTATAAAAAACCTACACCACTTAGTTCTATCAATACTATAAGGACCAAGCTTATTACTATGCCATTTAAGTTTTATTAAACTGTTTACTATAAGTTTAAACTCTATAAAACTTACTTTACTCTGAGTCATCTTCTTCTGATAAAGTTTTATTTGACTATATGAATAAGCTTTTGATTAAATTGAGTTCAATCGATTCTGAAAATTACGCCACCATTTAAATACTATTATAAACGACTATTAATTGAATGAATTGAATAAATCTAGAAGTTATGTAGTCACGGGGTTTTGGGGTTTTGGGGTTTTGGGG